TTTTTTTCACTAATTAAACCATAAAACTGGCCCAGACATGCGGAAATAATAACGAAACGACCTCAAAACAATAACGAAACGAATACAATATCGAAATACGAAGCATTTACAAAACGTTTTTGAAAATTCGTTTTTTTAAATAATTGCTCCAGAATGGTTCGTTATCGTTTTGTAATTGAAAAAATTAACGAATTATTAACGAATTACGAATTAATGAAACAAAACCGCCCAGCCCTAGTATCCATGACTGATGGCTTGATGAATGCAAGGCTGGGGTGAAAATGGCTGGAAGAAACATTAACAACCTCAGATATGCAGATGACACCACTCTGATGGCCGAAAGCGAGGAGGAGCTGAGGAGCCTTCTAATCAAGGTGAAAGAGGAAAGCGCAAAAGCTGGGTTGCAGCTAAACGTCAAAAAAAAACCCAAGATTATGGCAACAAGAATGATTGACAACTGGGAATAGAGGGAGAAAATGTGGAGGCCGTGACAGACTTTGTATTTCTAGGCGCAAAGATGAGTGCAGATGCAGACTGTGGCCAGGAAATCAGAAGACGCTTCCTTCTTGGGAGGAGAGCAATGTCCAGTCTCGGTAAAATAGTAAAGAGTAGAGACATCCGACTGGCAACCAAGATCCATTGCCTAGTCAAAGCCATGGTCTTCCCTGTAGTCACCTACGGATGTGAGAGCTGGACCTCAGGGAAGGCTGAGCGAAGGAAGAGAGGCGCTTTTGAGCTGTGGTGCTGGAGGAAAGTTCTGAGAGTGCCTTGGACTGCGAGAAGATCTAACCAGTCCATCCTCCAGGAAATAAAGCCCGGCTGCTCACTGGAGGGAAGGAGACTAGAGACAAAGCTGAAGTCCTTTGAATGCCACATCATGAGGAGACAGCCAAGCCTAGAGAAGGGAATGATGCTGGGGAAAGTGGAAGGCAAAAGGAAGAGGGGCCGACCAAGGGCAAGATGGATGGATGGCATCCTTGAAGTGACTGGACTGACCTTGAAGGAGCTGGGGGTGGAGACGGCCAACAGGGAGCTCTGGCGTGGGCTGGTCCATGAGGTCACGAAGAGTCAGAGACGACTGAACGAATGAACAATTCACGACTGAGCAGCCCTTTTGAGGACCTACTCTGCTCACCCCACATGGGGATGGGGCTAGAAAAGGTACCTTGAACATAGTCGGCCTCTTTTACCCCTGACTGGACTGCATTTCTGTGTCCTCAAACAATATGGTGTGTCTCATTACGTTGGTGCTTCCTTAAAAGTCTCAGATCATCCAATCTCTGCTGGGTTCTCTGGTGTGGACTCCCCAGGTAAGATCCAGGTAAGAGAGATATTGACAAGCTGTCCAGAGGAGGGTGACTAAAATGATCAAGGGTCTGGAGAACAAGCCCTATGAGGAGTGGCTTAAGGAGCTGGGCATGTTTAGCCTGAAGAAGAGAAGGCTGACAGGAGATATGATAGCCATGTATAAATATGTGAGAGGAAGCCACAGGGAGGAGGAGGGAGCAAGCTTGTTTTCTGCTTCCCTGGAGACTAGGATGCAATGGAACAATGGCTTCAAACTACAAGAGAGGAGATTCCATCTGAACATGAGGAAGAACTTCCTGACTGTGAGAGCCGTTCAGCAGTGGAACTCTCTGCCCCGGAGTGTGGTGGAGGCTCCTTCTTTGGAAGCTTTTAAACAGAGGCTGGATGGCCATCTGTCAGGGGTGATTTGAATGCAATATTCCTGCTTCTTGGCAGAATGGGGTTGGACTGGATGGCCCATGAGGTCTCTTCCAACTCTTTGATTCTATGATTCTATGATCCTCCTTAGGAGTAAGACCCAGGAACTTCAAACTGACAGAGAGACTTCCCTAGCTATCTGTGGGGAGGGCTTGGATTGTGTCTTCCCCTGTCTGGTAGAAAGGTGGCTTTTGGTGATGATTCTGTGATTCCTCCTTCACTCCCTGTCCAAAAAACAAACGCAGGCAGCTTTGAGGGCGGCGCTCTCTCTCTTTCTCTCTCTTTCTCTCTCTCCTTCCTCCCCCCCCCCTTTGGAGGCCCTCCTTTCCCTCCCCCCTCCCTCCCCTCCCCTTCCCCTCCCTCCCTTTTCCAAGGGACCCACTCGAGGCCACTTCTCTCTCTCTTTCTCCACTCAGCCGGCGGCGAACGGAGCACCGCTTGGGACCCTCCACCTCTCCAAATGGTGAGATGCAGGGAGGAGGGGGTGGGCTCTTCTTTGGGGCAGAAGTGAGGGGCGCCCCTTTGGGAAAGGGACCTAGAGGGGTGTCTCTGCTTCCTCAGGGGTCCCGCTTTCGTGGGGTGCAGGTTTGGGGGCCATGCGGGAGGGTGTCGCCTTGTGCGGGGACATACACTTTGGGGGACTCTGGGCTGCTTTTACGCACGGTTTGGACCAAGCAGGCGTGCTTCCAAGGCATCTTTGGGTCAAGTCCTGGTTTTGAGGGGGGTCGTTCGCCCTATAGGAAATCTGTCAGGATTTGGGGGCAGCGTTTGGCATGGCAGAGGCGGACCATTTGCAAGAACTAATTTCCTGGTAGTAAGTAAGAAGAGCTCTTCGGCAGAGGAATGTGCTGCTTACTCCTACCTGGGAGTCTCCTTCCTTCCTTCTCTTGGAGATCTTTAAGCGGAGGATGGGTGGCCATCTGCCGGGAGAGCTTGGATTGTGCCTTCCTTCTTAGCAGAAGGGGCTACATCCCCCTTGGGGGTCTCTCCCACCCCTAGGAGTCTAGGGTTCTGTGTTTCCTTAAGGGCCCCTTTTTGGAGAGCTAGGTGCTTCCACATGCACCTTTGGAGGGGAAGAAAGGGGAAAGGGCACATGCCCTGGATTCCTGGGAGTTGTAGTTCCCACAAGGTCTGCAGTAGCCTCCTCTGCCCAAGAGGGGTGGTGCATCCCCAAACTACAGCTCCCAGGATTGTGTTATCATAGCATTGCATTCTGCAGCGTAGATGCACCCCCAACAAGGTCTGCAGTAGCCTTCTCTGACCAAGGGAAAAGGGCACCTGCCCTGGATTCCTGGAAGTTGTAGTTCCCACAAGGTCTGCAGCAGCCTTCTCTGCCCAAGAGGAGTGGTGCATCCCCAAACTGCAGCTCCCCAGATTCCATAGAGTTAATTTATCATAGCATTGCATTCTGCAGCATAGATGCACCCCTTGAACTGCCCTGGCACAATGCAAAGAAATCCTGAGAGTTTTAGTTTTGCAAGGCTACAATCATGGGAGCTGTAGTCAGTAGCTGTAGTCTCACCCAGGCTAGGGTTCTGTGTTTCCTTAAGGACCCCTTTTTGGAGATGTAGGTGCTCCCAAGTGCACCTTTGGAGGGGAAGAAAGGGGAAAGGGCACCTGCTCTGGGTTTCTGGGAGTTGTAGTTCCCACAAGGTCTGCAGCAGACTTCTCTGCCCAAGAGGGCTGGTGCATCCCTAAACTACAGCTCCCAGGATTGTGTTATCATAGCATTGCATTCTGCAGCGTAGATGCACCCCTTGAACTGCCCTGGCACAATGCAAAGAAATCCTGGGAGTTTTAGTTTTGCAAGGCTACAATCATGGGAGCTGTAGTCTCTCTCAGGCTAAAGTTCTGTGTTTCCTTAAGGGCCCCTTTTTGGAGACATAGGTGCTTCCACATGCACCTTTGGAGGGGAAGAAAGGGGAAAGGGAACCTGCCCTGGATTCCTAGGAGTTGTAGCCTCCACAAGGTCTGCAGTAGCCTCCTCTGCCTAGGGGGGCTGGTGCAGCCCCAAACTACAGCTCCCCGGATTCCATAGAATTGTGTTATCATAGCATTGCATTCTGCAGTGTAGATGCACCCCTTGAACTGCCCTGGCACAATGCAATGAAATCCTGGGAGTTTTAGTTTTGCAAGGCTATAATCATGGGAGCTGTAGTCTGTAGCTGTAGTCTCTCCCAGGCTAGGGTTCGATGTTTTCTTAAGGGCCCCTTTTTGGAGATATAGGTGCTTCCACATGCACCTTTGGAGGGGAAGAAACCCACCTGCACTGGGTTTCTGGGAGTTGTAGTTCCCACAAGGTCTGCAGTAGCCTTCTCTGCCCAAGAGGGCTGGTGCAGCCCCAAACTATAGCTCCCTGGATCCCATAACATTGTGTTATCACAGCATTGCATTCTGCATAGAATCCTAGAATCCTAGAGTTGGAAGAGACCTCCTGAGCCATCCAGTCCAACCCCATTCTGCTAAGAAGCAGGAACATTGCATTCAAAGCACCCCTGACAGATGCCCATCCAACCTCTGCTTAAAAGCTTCCAAAGAAAGAGCCTCCACCACACACCGGGGCAGAGAGTTCCACTGCTGAACAGTTCTCACAGTCAGGAAGTTCTTCCTCGTGTTCAGATGGAATCTCCTTTCCATCCGAACATTCCATCCCCTTGGACTGCTCTGGCACAATGCAAAGGAATCCTTGGAGTTTTAGTTTTGCAAGGCTACAATCAGGGGAGCTGTAGTCTTACACCGAACTACAACTCCCAAAGTTCCATAGGATCGAGCCATGGTGGTTGAAGTGGTTCCAAACTGCGTTCATTCTACACCAGGTATAGAGAAACTTTGGCTTTCCAAATGTTTTGGACTCCAACTCCCACAGTTCCTAACAGCCTCAGGCCCCTTCCCTTCCCCCTCAGCCACTGAAGGAAAAGGAAGGGACCTGAGTCTGTTAGGAAATGTGGGAGTTGGAATCCAGAACACCTGGAAGGCCCAAGTTTGCCCATGCTTGGTTTAGTCAATTACGCTTAAGTGGCTGTGGGGAAAAGAAGGGGCCTGAGGCTGTTAGGAATTGTGGGAGTTGGAGTCCAAAACACCTGGAGGGCCAACGTTGGGCCCATGCCTGGTCTAGCATGTGTAAATGATGGGCTCCTGACTGAGCCTGGTTGTCCAATGAGGCCCCAGCACTCCTGGGCCAAGAAGGCTAAAGATCTTGTAGAACTACAGCTCCCAGGGCTCCATAGCATTGAGCCTTCCTCATTCTTTCTTTCTCTCTTTGTATCTTTGTCCAGAGCAACGCCACTGCCCTTCCTCCTCCTTCTCAATCCTGTTCAGAAGGGGTCTCCCTTTGTGCTGCCCCTCCTCAGAGGGCAGAGACCACGGATGGAGGGACCGTGGATGGAGTCGGCCTGGGACACCAGCCTGGGCCTCTTGCGGGATGAAGTGGAAGGAGAAGAGGAGGAAGCCTCATCATCCGGTGAGTGGAAAGTGTCTGAGGAGGCCCAAAGGGACACCCAAAGGTCATGCAGTCTGACCCACAGCCTCCAAAACCAACCAGCCAAGGGTGTTCTTTGGATTCAAGGGTGTTGTTGGGGGTGCAACTAGAGAGAGTGAGACCCCTTGGAAATGTGCAGGGGCATCTTTTGGACTTCCTCTTGGAAGCCCTCTCTTGACTTGGCCAACAATCAGGGATTCTGGGACCTCAAACACCTCAAAGCCTGGGAATCCCTGGTAGGAGAAGGCAGTAGGGATGGTGAAGGTGCGATGGTGGAGAGTTGGATTCATCTGTTCATATCCAGGCTAAACTCCATCTTGCAAATCTACAACTTCCATGACGCAATACCATTGAGCTGTAGCAGTTCAAGTGGTATCAAACTGTATTCCTTTCACAGAGCAGAGGCACCCTTGGTCATGGAAATGCACTGGGTGAACTTGACTGAGTCACACACTCTCAGCCCCAGAATAGTCAGAAACAACAAAGGTCATTGGCCTTTTCAACTCCCTGGCAACTCTGGGTTTTACTTGAATCTCTAAAGATGTCACCTGCAGGTCTGAACCCTCTCCAAAAGAGATTCAGTACCTTGGAGAGCTCTTTTTACAATGGTCTTGGCTCCAGGAATGGATTGACTGCCCCTTGGAGTCACTACTAGCTGCCACCACAAAGCACAACATCAGTGGTTCTCAACCTTTCTAATGCCGTGACCCCTAAATACTAGGGCTGGGCGATTTCGTTCGTTAATTTCGTAATTCGTTATTTATTCGTATTTAAATTAGCTTACGAACCGATATTGAACCATTTAGGAGCAACTAAAAATCGAAATGAATTTTTCAATTCATTTCGTAATTGTTTCGAAATCGTTTTGAAATCGTTTCGAAATCGTTTCGAAATCGTTTCATTATTACTTCCGTATGTCTGGTGCAAGTTTTATAGTTGTTGTTTGTTTTCTTAGTGATAAAAAAAATAAATTATCACACCAACAGTCAACAACAGAGGGAGAGGGAAGCTTCAGAAGTTCCCCCTGTCCCATTTGGAGGTTTTTTTAGCGTATTGCGCAGTCACGTCCGCCATTAACTAATCGATTCGTAATCGATTCATAATTGTTTCGTAATTTCCGAAATTTCGTATATTTCGGACTTTTTTAAAGAAAAATTTCGGAATTCTTTTAAAAAAACGAAATGCAAAAAAACCCTAAAAACGAATCGAGTTTAGAAACAATTTTTTCCATGGTTACCCAGCCCTACTAAATACAGTTCCTCATGCTGTGGTGACCCCCAAACATAAAATTATTTTTGTTGCTACTTTTACTACTGTTATGAATTGTAATGTAAATATCTGATATGCAGGATGTATTTTTATTGTTACAAATTGAACATACTTAAAGCATGGTGATTCATCACAAAAACAATATGCTTGGGGGAGTATGAACAACAGATGACGGGATCTGCAATACCTTCAACTGATTCAGATCTGACTTCCACATACCACTGAGACCCCCACAAATTATAGACCTGGACCAAACTTGGAACAGGGAACCCCCATGACCAACAGAAAATACAAGAGGGGGTTGGGAGGAATTGACAGCGATTTAGAGGAGATGTAGTTCACCTACATCCGGAGAGCAAACCCAAATAACTATGGACCTGGACCAAACTTGGCAGGAATGCTCATATATGCCCAAATTTGAACACTAGTGGAGTCTGGGAAAAATAGACCCTGACATTTGGGAGTTCCCCTCCAGTGTCTTCCTCCATGCTTCCTCTCCTTCCTTCTCATCGCCACCAGATTTGCCTCCCCACCAGGCCTGGGCCTTCCTGCGTTGCACCCGGGGGCCCGGCAGCCATTGCATGGAGGCGGAGGGGGCGGGGCCAAAGGAGGGAGTGTCGCGACCCCTTGGAAATGGCCAATCGACCCCTCTGGGGGTCGCAACCCCCAGGTTGAGAACCACTGCACTATATGAACCTGAGTCTCCAGTTTGCATGGATCCTGTGCTGGTGGGAGTGTCACCTGCAAATTCTCCTATTTTGATGGTCTCAGCTCCTGGGAGGAGGGAAGCACTCTCTTGCACAGTTAGGAGAGCAGCAACTTCATACAGTTTGCATTTATAGAATGTTGCTGTAGCTTCCAAAGACTCACCAATTGCCTATGCATATTTATGTAGATCTTTTGCTCCTTTCTTCCCAGTCATTAGGTCACCTTCTGTTCTGCTCTGAGTTTGTATTTTAGCTGGAAGCAACTAGGTTGGATCAAATCAACCTCATCTCCTTCTTCCTCCTTCCTTGCCAGTCATTACACTATGTCCGGAGCCCCCAGTGGCACAGTGGGTTAAACCAGTGGTTCTCAACCTTCCTAATGTTGCGACCCCTTAATACAGTGCCTCATGTTGCAGTGGCCCCCAACCATAAAATTATTTCCGTTGCTACTTCATAACTGTAATGTTACTGCTGCTATGAATCATAATGTAAATATCTGATATGCAGGATGTACTTTCATTCACTGGATGAAATTTAGCACAAATACCCAATACAACCAAATTTGAATGCTGGTGGGGTTGGGCAGGATTGATTTTGTCATTTGGGAGTTGTAGTTGCAGGGATTTATAGTTCATCTACAATCAAAGAGCATTCTTAACTCCACCAACAATGGAATTGAACCAAACTTGGCACAAAAAACTCCCATGACCAACAGAAAATACTGGATGGGTTTGGTGAGCATTGACCTTCAGTTTTGGAGTTATAGTTCACCTACATCTAGAGAGCACTGTGGACTTCAACAATGATAGCTCTGGACCAAACTTGGCACAAATACTCAATATGCCCAAATGTGAACACTGGTGGAATTTAGGGAAAATAGACCTTGACATTTGGGAGCTGTAGTTGCTGGGATTTATAGTTCACCTACAATCAAAGAGCACTCTGAACTCCACCAATGATGAAATTGAACCAAACTTCTCACACAGAACCCCCATGAGCAGCAGAAAATACTGTTTTCTAATGCTCTTTTGTGACTCCTCTGACAACCCCTCATGACCCCCCCCCCAGGGGTCCTGACCCCCAGGTTGAGAAACACTGGGTTAAACCCTTGTGCTGGCAGGACTGCTGACAGAAAGGTCAGTGGTTCGAATCCGGGGAGCAGGGTGAGCTCCCATCTGTCAGCTCCATCTTCTCATGTGCGGACAAGATGGCAAAATATCTGGGTGTCCCCTGGGCAACATCCTTGCAGATGGCCTGTTCTCTCACACCAGAAGCAACTTGCAGTTTCTCAAGTTGCTCCTGATGCAAAAAAAAAATTACACTATGTGACATGATTTTTGTTCCTGGGTTGTAAATTTATTTATTTATTTATTTATTTATTTATTTATTTATTTATTTACAGTATTTATATTCTGCCTTTCTCACTCTGCAGGGGACTCAGGGTGGATTGCAATGTACATACACATAGCAAACATTCAATACCATAGACACACAACATATATTGACAGACACATAGAGGCTATTTAACTTTCCAGCTTTCATGACAGTATTCTAACCCCCCGGGGAGCTGTCGCTTCACTGTCCATTTGAGACACTGATGAAGTACTTCCTCATTCTTTGCTTGCATGCTTGCTGGAGATTTTATGGCATCATAAATTGGTTAAATTAGCCTCCCCGCATAAGCGGTACCTAAATTTTCTACTTGACAGATGCAACTGTCTTTCAGGCTGCAAAGGTCGACAGCAAGCTAACCACAATGGTCGGAAGCTCACTCCGACCTGGGCTGGCTTCAAACTCATGACCTTTTGGTCAGTAGTGATCTTAATGCAGCTGATTCCCAGCCAGCTGTTCCACAGTCCCGGTTCTGTGTTGAAATGACGTTGACCAATGCTGTTGTTCTATGTTATGATCCAGAGTTTTAATTAGCATACCTAATATAGATTAACTGAATTCATTTCCTAATTGGTTCTATCGTAAAAACATGGGAACAGTTTTTTAAACTGCAAAAACGTTGTTTTTGCAGGATATCCTGTAGCACCATTTTCTATACTTTTTCAGTCTCAACTACTTCAACTTAATGTATTGTCGAAGGCTTTCATGGCTGGAATCACTAAGTTCTTGTGGGTTTTTTCGGGCTATATGGCCATGTTCTAGAGGCATTTCTCCTGACGTTTCGCCTGCATCTATGGCAAGCATCCTCAGAGGTGACCTCACCTCTGAGGATGCTTGCCATAGATGCAGGCGAAACGTCAGGAGAAATGCCTCTAGAACATGGCCATATAGCCCGAAAAAACCCCACAAGAACTTACTTCAACTTAGTTTGTGGCTGCCAACAAAACAAAGTTTCTGGAGTAGAACAACTACTTTCAGAGTAAAGGCCACATAATTAAACAGGAAATAACACTTGCAAACCAGGAACAGAATACTTTCAAATAGTGTTACATAGTGTTATGTAACTTATGGAGTTTTGGGGCCATATGTCTTCAGAGAAAGCTTGGAGTCTAAGAGTGGTTGCCCAGTAGCTTTCCATAGTTGAGTGGAGGTTTGAACCCTGGTTGACAATCTCTACACCATTTTGGCAGAGCTTTCAAGTTGACTCCAACTTATCAGTATTTTTAGGCGTATTTTTTTCTGTGGACGTTTGCCATGAACTTTCTTGGAGGCTGAGAGAGAGAGACTTGTTGACTGTGGCTTTCCATAGCTGAGTGAGGACTTGAATCCTGGCTTCCCAATTCCTGTCCCAAAACTCAAACCTTTACATCATTTTGGCTGTACCTTCAAGTTGACTCCAACTTATGGTGACTTTATAAGGAGGTTTTCTTGATCAAGCTTATTCAGAGGGGGATTGCCACGGCTGCCTTCTGAGGCTGAGAGAGTATGACTTGGCCAAGGCTGAACAAGGATTTGAACCTTTCTCTCCTGGAGCTGCAATCCAGGACTCTATCCTCTCCACCATGTTAACCTTCACTGGTGCATGCATAACTCTCAAAGCAAAGCACCAACAAGATTCCAGCTTCTGGGTTTTTCTCCAAGGGGAAAGTGCAGGACTGGAAGTTGCTCTTACTCCTTCACTTCTCTCCCCAGCCCCTTTGGTCTCTGTAAAAAAAAGGAAGGATCCCCCTTAATAATCTAACACCACATATCAATGTATATCGCGCCACTGGACCCCAATGAAAAGGATTATAAGTAATGTCACACCACTGGACAATAGTATGGTAGCGAGTTGATGTTAGATGTGTGTAATGGTAGAATGAACACTGTTAGTCTGTTAGTCTTCTTTTGTTTTAAAAGCTGCCACCAACACAAGATGTCTTAGAACTTTTAAAATGAGTTTCTGAGGTAAATCTTTCCCACTTCTGCCCACACGGCTTTTTCCCTGGCTCCCAAAATGACTGTTTGGTTAAGAGACCTTTCTGTGGTATCAGGAGGTTAAAGTGACTGGAATTATCACAAAGGATTGCTGATAGATTGAGGAACGATAGAGGCTTCTTAAAAGTCAAACAGAGAAAAGGTTTATTAATAAAAACAGAGAACTGACTTCTTCTTTTGAGAGGCACAAATGCTTGACTTGTTACTATATCACAATATCTTAATGGTTACTTAGAAAAGAGTTTCTTGACTTGGTTACAAACAGAACTAATATCATAGATATAGCTACTGGTTACAAAAATCCCTCACTCTACTTCAGCAAAATAGCAATGAGTTTCTGACTAACCTAACCTAGGCAGTCCCCTGAGTTATCAGCTAACTCTCCCAGAGTTCTTACAGCTAACTAACTCAGTCTAGAGAGCTAATTCCTTGTGTTGTCTCCCACAAGAAATCAGGTTGCTGCTTGACCTTTCCTGTCAACTAATCAGCCCTGCCTGACATACACATACACACTCTCTCAGAAATACCCAGTCTCAAAAACCACTTCTTTGCCCGCCAGTTCCCAAATCTCCTCTCTCTCTCTCTCTCTCAGAAGCTGAAATCTTTTTCCCTCCCAAGACTTGGCTCCTCCTCCTCTGCTCTAGCCAATCCCAGGAGACCTCAAACTGCTCCCATCTTCTACCTATCCTCCCTCAAGATGGCTGCTTTACTGGCAGACCCTCTCAAAATGGAGGTTTGCCCTACTGTCTTCCTAGGCTTCTATTCTGGCCTATTAGGTAAGAATCATTACAGTCTCCCTTTCTCTTGGGACAGATGGGTTCTGCAGTTTGGAGACAACTCTGCAAGAGGATCTGGGGACCAGTGACCAACTCTGCACACAGCTCTACAGAAACAAACAGGTAATAATTAGCACTATCCAATCAAGAGTTACAAAGTTAAGTAGCTTAGATTATCTGGGCATCGAAATCTGCAACTACGAGGTTATTTTCCTTATCCCTGGAGTGAAGGAGAACTATCTGCAGGTGGATGGACTGACTCCATGAAGGAAGCCAAAGATGCACTAGGTTTGTAAGGCCCCTGTAAATTGTGGATAATAAAGTGATATGGAGGTTTCCCATTCATCTGATTGCCATAAACTGAAGTCAATGTGATGGCAACTCGTAACAAGAATATAATGATCATTTTGGGTTTTGCTGGTAGTCCTGACATCTTACAATGATGCTTTAACATATCAAAGTCCCATCTGAGCCCAAAACATTTGCCTGGCTGAGTTGTGGTAGGTTTTTCAGGCTATATGGCCATGTTCTAGAAGCATTCCCTCCTGATGTTTCACCTGCTTCTATGACAAGCATCCTCAGAGGTTGTGACCTCACAACCTCTGGGGATGCTTGCCATAGATGCAGGCAAAACATCAGAAGAGAATTCTTCTAGAACAGTGGTTCTCAACCTTCCTAATGCCACGACCCTTTAATGTAGTTCCTCATGTTGTGGTGACCCCAACAATAAAATTATTTTTGTTGCTACTTCATAACTGTAATTTTGCTGCTATTGTGAATCGTAATGTAAATATCTGATATGCAGGATGTATTTTCATTCACTGGACCAAATTTGGCACAAATACCTGGTGCAACCAAATTTAAATACTGGTGGGGTTGGGAGGGGGCATTGATTTTGCCATTTGGGAGGTGTAGTTGCTGAGATTTATTGTTAACCTAGAGCCACCGGTGATGCAGTGGGTTAAACCCCTGTGCCGGCAGGACTGAAGACCGACAGGTCGCAGGTTCGAATCCGGGGAGAGGCGGATGAGCTCCCTCTATCAGCTCCAGCTCCCCATGTGAGAACATGAGAGAAGCCTCCCACAAGGATGATAAAACATCAAATCATCCGGGCGTTCCCTGGGCAACGACCTTGCAGCCGGCCAATTCTCTCACACCAGAAGCGACTTGCAGTTTCTCAGGTCGCTCCTGACATGACAATTTTTTTTTGTTAACCTGCAATCAAAGAGTATTCTGAACTCCACCAACGATGGACTTACACACAGAACTCCCATGACCAACAGAAAATACTGGGCAGGTTTGGCGGGCATTAGCCTTGAGTTTTGGAATTTTAGTTCACCTAGATCCAGAGAGCATCATGGACTCAAACAATGATGGATCTGGACCAAACTTAGCACGAATACTCAATACACCCAAATGTGAACACTGCTGGAGTTTGGGGAAAATAGACCTTGACATTTGGGACTTGTAGTTGCTGGGAATTTTAGTTCACCTACAATCAAAGAGCATTCTGAACCCCACCAACAATACACAGAACTCCCATTACAAACAGAAAAGACTGTGTTTTCTGATGGTCTTTGGTGACCCCTCTGACACCGCCATCATGACCCCCCAGGGGTCCTTACCCCCAGGGTGAGAAACGCTGTTCTAGAACATGGCCATATAGTCCAAAAAACCTACAACAACCAGTGAGTCCAGCCATGAAAGCCTTCGACAATACATTTGCCTGGCTATTTAAAACTGATACTTGATTTGTAATTGTGCTTTCTTGCATGGCAGGGGGTTGGACTAGGTGGCCTGTGTGGTCCGTTCCAACTCTATAATTCTATGATTATATAATGTTTTCATTTTGGAAACACTGAGTCATGTCTCCTGCTTCTTTTCAGGTGATTCTCTCTCCCTCCATTTTCAGGTTCCCCCCTCTAATCCCTAGGTGTATGTGGGTGCATCTATGTTGTTGTTCATTTGTTCAGTCATCTCCAACTCTTCGTGACCTCATGGACCAGCCCACGCCAGAGCTCCCTGTCGGCCGTCACCACCCCCAGCTCCTTCAAGGTCAGTCCAGTCACTTCAAGGATGCCATCCATCCATCTTGCCCTTGGTCGGCCCCTCTTCCTTTTGCCTTCCACTTTCCCCAGCATCATTGTCTTCTCTAGGCTTGGCTGTCTCCTCATGATGTGGCATTCAAAGGACTTCAGCTTTGTCTCTAGTCTCCTTCCCTCCAGTGAGCAGTCGGGCTTTATTTCCTGGAGGATGGACTGGTTGGATCTTCTCGCAGTCCAAGGCACTCTCAGCACTTTCCTCCAACACCACAGCTCAAAAGCATCTCTCTTCCTTCGCTCAGCCTTCCCTAAGGTCCAGCTCTCACATCCGTAGGTTACTACAGGGAATACCATGGCTTTGACTAGGCAATGGATCTTTGTTGCCAGTCTGATGTCTCTACTCTTTACTATTTTATCGAGACTGGACATTGCTCTCCTCCCAAGAAGTAAGCGTCTTCTGATTTCCTGGCCACAGTCTGCATCTGCACTCATCTTTGCACCTAGAAATACAAAGTCTGTCACGGCCTCCACATTTTCTCCCTCTATTTCCCAGTTTTCAGTCATTCTTGTTGCCATAATCTATACTGCACCTATACTGCTGAATTAATGCAGTTTAACAGTAGTTTAACCCCAATGGCTCAGTGCTATGGAATCCTGGGATTTGTAGTTTTACAAGGTCTTTATCGTGCTTTGCCAAAGAGTGTTGGTGCCTCACCAAACTACAATTTCCAGGCTTCTATGGCACGGAGCCACGGCAGTTAAACTCCTGTTAAATTGGATCCCTTCCACCGTGCAGATGCACCCTGAGGCTAAATGATTCTGTGTCAAAGGGGATTAAACCTGGCAGAGTTTAAGCAGGTGGAATAATTTTTTGGCTTTGACAATAATACCTGCAGAATGCCAGCTTGGTTTTTGGGCCATGGGACTGGAGTGTTGAGGGGCTTAAACTTCTCCTTTCCTCCTTTGATTCTGCCTCTCTTTATTCATAATCCCCTTTCTGCAGAAAAATGGGGCTCAGGGCAGCTCAAAGCCTATCCACAAAGGTTTTCCCCCAGTTTTGCATTGCAAAAAGTAGCAAAGAAATCTAAATCAGGTACAGATTGGATCTCTGGCTAAAGTCCTAACTCCCAAGGTGTGCAATGCAATTGCAATGAATTGCAGGAGGTGCTGGGTTATTCTCCTCCTCTTGCTACTTTGCAGCAATCCCACAAAAAGGAATAAAATTCAGACTTTTTGAAATCAGAGGAGGAGGTGGACAGCTAACCTTTCTTTGCAATGCAGCTAATCTTTGCATATTTGCCTTCTATACATTGTTCCCTATTGACTTTCCCCCATGCCTTTGTATGTGTGGCTTTGTGGTTAGTGCTTTCAAAGGGATTTCCTAAAATACTTTGCAGGAAATCATGCCAACGTGAGCTTGGAATGGCCCTTCTCTTTCATTCCGTTGCTCTCCATAAGGTTCCTCCTACAGATCAAGTTCCAAGGAGTACATACCGAATTCAGCAGGTTTGAGGTGGAGAGGTTAGTCATTTGGGTTGCCAAATGCCGCCTTTGGATTGGTTCCCTATTGTAACTTATCTGTGCTTTGCAGCTTCAAGATACCTTGCTCCAGAAGGAGGAGGAACTTGCCCGCTTGCAAGAGGAAAACAGCCACCTCCGGCAGTTCCTGAACTCTGCTCTGGTCAAGCAGTTGGAGGAAAAGACCAAGGTAGGTGCAGAACCTCAGTGCAAAGCATCCATGTGTTTGCAATAAAGCCACAAAGTGTGTTTAGAGGCCCAAAAGGCTTGGAAGGAACATTTCTGTAGCTACCCCTCATGGAACCCTAGAACTGGAAGAAACACTAGGTTCACCCAGTCCAACTCCCTTCTATGCAGAAAGACACAATCAAAGCCCTCCCGACAGACAGCCATTCAGTCTTGCTGGAGTTCAGCCTGTGATTGTGTTTCAGGATCAGGGTGCTTTGGATGTGGGAAGTCATGCCAATGAATTTCAAGATGGCAATGGTTTGGCCAATGATACTGATGCAGAGAAGGACCAGGAGATGCCTGTGCAAAGTGTAGTTTCCCATGTGAATGTCCCTGAAGGGTGTGGGCAGGTGTTGCATCCCAGATCAAGAAACAAGACCATAAGATTAAATCCACCACACTGGACTGTAGGAAAAACAATCCTTGTTTATTGATGAAAAATTGGTTACAAAAGAAAGGTAAATGCAAAGTCAAAAAGCCACAATAGAAACACAGCAGTCAGTAGAATCTCTGAACTTGAGCAAAATTCCAAAAGCCACAATACAAGAACCAGGAACCTGTTAGCCTCTCGCTAACCATGAACTTGAAAACTAGAAGCCTCTGGGATTACCGGCCATGGAACACAGGAACTCTGCCAAGGCATAGCCACAGCCCCAAACGTTGCTTGATCTAAAGAGACACCCGGCAGAAGGCCCCTTAAATCAAAGAAGATATTCTTTGAAACACCCCTTGACTTTGAAGCCTGGGCCTGTCTCTCCTGTAAACGATTTGACCTTCGTAGAAACTGTGAAACATTTCTGTCTCTAACTATCTGTTCTCTTCGGTCCTCATTAAAAAAACCCAGGTGGAGAGATATCACGGCTAGCTTCCAAAACATTTTCCTCCAGCTGTTCAGTTTCATTTTCCTCACCGCTGACCTCAGCATCAACAACAGATTCCACACTGTCAGGGAGAGCTTGCTCAGTTGGAAAAACGATCAGAGAATCCGGTTCACACAGATCAGGATCAGGCTGAACCCCAACAGCAGGGGCAGCTCAAGCAATATGCCAATTAAGCTTTTGCATAGGGTGCAGCAGTCCCAGGGGTGCCCCAGGTGCAGTGTGCAAGGTAGCCGAAATTCAAGGGGCACATGTGCACAGCTAGCCTGGGAAATACTGCGCATGTGAGCACTGAGAGCGGTGAGCGCTGCAGGCACGCGAAGAGAAGAAGTTCACTGGTTTTAAGATAGAGGTGTCAATACTGGAGCAGACACTGACATTCAGGTTTCCAATTTTAAAAATACTATCTATATACTGCCATTAAAAAATTGCTTTGAGCTGGAATTTGTGACAGTGTAGACACATATAATCCAATTCAAAGCAGGTATTGTGTATTACCTGCCTTGATATTCTGGGTTATATAGCTATGTGGAAGGGGCCTCAGTCCCCATCTATATACTGCCATATAAAACCCCAAAACTTTGCTTTGAGCTGGAATTTGTGACAGTGTAGACACATATAATCCAGTTTAAAGCAAGTATTGTGTATTACCTGCTTTGATATTCTGGGTTATATAGCTGTGTGGAAGGGGCCTCAGTCCCCATCTATATACTGCCATATAAAATCCAAAAACTTTGCTTTGAGCTGGCATTTGTGACAGTGTAGACACATATAATCCAGTTCAAAGCAGGTATTGTGTATGATCTGCCTTCATATTCTGGGTTATATATATATAATCCAGTTCAAAGTAGATAAATCCGGATTTTATATGGTAGTGTTGCTGAGGTCCCAGGTCTCCCAGGTCCCTTCTATACTGCTTCATGATCAAGATTATTAATTCAGATAACCCGCATAATCTCATTTGAACCTGATTATGTGAGTCTATACTGCCATATAATCCAGTTCAAAGCAGACCATCATTATTTGATATGGCAGTGTGGTAGAAGGGCCCTCAATCCACACTAAGCATTATTTGGACTTCAAAGCCAGGCAACACAATTTCCACAAAAGCAAAACCTTCATGAGCACCAGTGCTCTGCTGTTTGTGTAAACCCCATCCCAGCTTCATGCTGGCTTTCCATCCGCACACACAGCGAAACCACTTTGAAACTGCATGAAATGATCAGTGTAGCCATTTTCCTCCCTGGCTCCAGACCAATGCCCTAAAGTGAAAGCCTTCAGAGACACAAATATCTGCTGGTTTAGATCCCAATGTGTGTGTGTGTGCACGCACGCATCCCCTGCTCCAAATTGGATGGCAGTTCTACAATTCTGAATCTGGTGGAAAACATTTGTAGTATTTACAACTCCCAGAAGAGCCCAATCTCAAGCAGCAAAGATGAACTACATTAAATTGAGGGGCGCTCTTGCGGTGCACCCATTTACTGCTGAAAGTTACCTAGGGCCGGCCCTGGGGGTGAGGATGATGATGTACTCCCTGAATTGTTACCAGAAAGTTCCCAGGATCTGGGGCTTGAAAACAACTCTGCACCTGCAGAAGTTCACAAGCAAATAGACAGCAGGAGATTATTCAAAACAGACAAGCCGAACAGTGCCTTCGGAGGTCTGCCAGAATCCGTCAGAAAAAGATAAGGGAATGTCAATTAAAGCAAAACCAATTTCTGAGTGCTGGGGATAGTTTAACAAGAGGATAAAAGTTCCAAGTATGGGAAATATAGTCAGATGAAGCATCATTTGGAATCAAGTTAAGTTCTCATTCTTGTTTCATAGAAGCCTATGATTCATGCTTAAGTATTTCTTGTTTCATGGTTTTGATTCTTGGATTTTATGACTACATACTCATGCCTTGGATTAATGCTTTCTGGTTTTCTGGATTATATTAGAGAAGTGTGGACTTGGTTTTCATGGACTGCTGAACTTTTCTGTTCCTGCTTATCTTCTTACCTAATTGGATTTATCTATTTCTTTAAAGTGCTTTTTTACTTGCTGCTTTTTAATTATCTTCAATCAAAGGATTGTTTTCCTATCCAACGTGTGGTGTTTAAAGTGAGAGGGCTTTTCCTGTCCTGGAGTGCAACAAGTCCCTACTTCAAAATTTCTAGAGAAGGAGATTGCACCAGACTCTTATGCAACAGCACATTCCATGATCAAACAACTCTGATCTTCAAGAAGTTTTTCCTGATGTATAGATGGAATCAATAGGAGAGAATCGCCCCTTGGGTTCGGTCACTTAACCAGTTACAGATCCACCAAATAGTAGCATTGCCTAGCCCACATTGGACTAGTCTGCATGCCAGAAGGTCATGGGGCACCTTATTGAAGGTTTTATTGAAATCAAGATATACTACATCCACAGTATTCCCAATAGATTAAAGATGTGCATTTTCAATCCAGGAACTCCCCCCACCCCCTAATTTTGTTTTATGATTCTGTCATCAGTTTCTTTAATCTTTCAATCTGTCAAAGGCTAATGGCACCCATCCTGTTGCTTATCAATCTTTACCCTTTCCTCCCAAACAGAAGTTACTTTTGCACAATGGACAAAGCCCTCGTGGAGGCTGCGGATCCCTCAAGCGGACCCTGAAGGCCGAGATCCCCATCCTTTCTGGAGCCCCCCACCCACCAAAGGCCCGGAAGAACCTCCTTGCAGAATTCACTGCCTGCGAAGAAGAGTGGACCCCCGGCCCCTCCGTGGAGACCTGGGTCCTGCGAACCCTTGGCCTCAAAGACCTCAACACCATCGATGATGGATCAACGCCTTCTGCTTCAGAGAACGTTGATGCCTGGACCCCAGAGCTTTTCCCTGGAGATGCAACAGACTTGGGCAGCAATGATGGCCCACCAGAGGGGCATACTTGCGCCACACTGCCTTCCACTGAAAGTGCCAATGCCACAATGGACATGATGCCCTTCTTACCACCGCTTCCTGCCATGCCTTGCCATCCCCTTCTGAACTCAAGCCCTGCTTCTCCCCTGCCCTGCTCTCCAGAGACCATTTCCCTGGCCCAAACGGACATGGCCTTCACTGCCTCCTTAAGCCCACATTGCAATGTGAGAACGCACACTTTCCGCCAGGGACAGGCCTTTGTGCGCAGGGATGAAGATGGCGGGTGGAAGCTCACATGGGTCCCCAAGCAGCCAGAGTGAACCAAGCCCCCATATCCAGCCCAACTAGCGCTCCAACACTGCCAGATGAGAGGGGGTTGAATTGCATAGGTTCATCCCAATTAGATCAGAACATGGGTTGGCTTGAATTGCATAGGTTCATCCCAATTAGATCAGAACATGGGTTGGCTTGAATTGCATTGGTTCATCCCAATCAGATCAGAACATGGGTTGGCTTGAATTGTATTGCATCATTGCAATCAGATCAGAGCATGGGTTGGCTTGAATTGTATTGCATCATTGCAATCAGATCAGAGCATGGGTTGGCTTGAATTGCATTGGTTCATCCCAATCACATCACAGCATGGGTTGGCTTTAATTGCGTCGGTTCATCCCAATCAGATCAGAGCATGGGTTGGCTTGAATTGTATTGGTTCATTGCAATCAGATCAGAGCATGGGTTGGCTTGAATTGCATTGGTTCATCCCAATTAGATCAGAGCATGGGTTGGCTTGAATTGTATTGGTTCATCCCAATCAGATCAGAGCATGGGTTGGCTTGAATTATATTGCATCATTGCAATCAGAGCATGGGTTGGCTTGAATTGTATTGGTTCATCCCAATCAGATCCGTGCATGGGTTGGCTTGCATTGTATTGGTTCATCCCAATCAGATTAGAGCATGGGTTGGTTTGAATTACATTGCATCATCCCAATCAGATCAGAGCATGGGTTAGCTTGAATTGTATTGCATCATTGCAATCAGATCAGAACATGAGTTGGCTTGAATTACATTGCATCATCCCAATCAGATCAGAGTATGGGTTGGCTTGAATTGCATTGGTTCATCCCAATCAGATCAGAGCATGGGTTGGCTTGAATTGCATTGGTTCATCCCAATCAGATCAAAGCATGGGTTGGTTTGAATTACATTGCATCATCCCAATCAGATCAGAGCATGGGTTAGCTTGAATTGTATTGCATCATTGCAATCAGATCAGAACATGGGTTGGCTTGAATTGCATTGGTTCATCCCAATTAGATCAGAGCATGTGTTAGCTTGAATTGTATTGCATCATTGCAATCAGATCAGAGCATGGGTTGGCTTGAATTGCATTGGTTCATCCCAATCAGATCAAAGCATGGGTTGGTTTGAATTACATTGCATCATCCCAATCAGATCAGAGCATGGGTTAGCTTGAATTGTATTGCATCATTGCAATCAGATCAGAACATGGGTTGGCTTGAATTGCATTGGTTCATCCCAGTTAGATCAGAGCATGGGTTAACTTGAATTGTATTGCATCATTGCAATCAGATCAGAGCATGGGTTGGCTTGAATTGCATTGGTTCATCCCAATTAGATCAGAGCATGGGTTGGCTTGAATTGTATTGGTTCATCCCAATCAGATCAGAGCATGGGTTGGCTTGAATTATATTGCATCATTGCAATCAGAGCATGGGTTGGCTTGAATTGTATTGGTTCATCCCAATCAGATCAGAGCATGGGTTGGCTTGCATTGTATTGGTTCATCCCAATCAGATTAGAGCATAGGTTGGCTTGAATTGCATTGCATCATCCCAATCAGATCAGAGCATGGGTTGGCTTGAATTGCATTGGTTCATCCCAATCAGATCAGAGCATGGGTTGGTTTGAATTACATTGCATCATCCCAATCAGATCAGAGCATGGGTTAGCTTGAATTGTATTGCATCATTGCAATCAGATCAGAACATGGGTTGGCTTGAATTGCATTGCGTCATTGCAATCAGATCAGAGCATGGGTTGGCTTGAATTATATTGCATCATTGCAATCAGAGTATGGGTTGGCTTGAATTGTATTGCATCATTGCAATCAGATCAGAGCATGGGTTGGCTTGAATTGTATTGCATCATTGCAATCAGATCAGAGCATGGGTTGGCTTGAATTGTATTGCATCATTGCAATCAGAGCATGGGTTGGCTTGAATTGTATTGATTCATCCCAACCAGTTCAGAGCATGGGTTGGCTTGAATTGCGTTGGTTCATCCCAATCAGATCAGAGCATGGGTTGGCTTGAATTGCATTGTTTCAGCCAACCTGGTAAGGGAGAAATTGAATAATATATATTGCAGAGGTGAAGATGAGGATCCAAAGCAGATTAGAGAGCTGTGCCAAAGCTAACAAAAGGAACACTAACAAGGAGAAATGTAGGGTACTACACTTAGGTGATAAGAAGGAAATGCACAAAGATAGGATGGGAAACAGTTTGGGTTTTAGGAGGCCACAAGCTGAATATGAGCCAGCAGTGTGATGCAGCGGCTAAAAAGTCTAATGTGATTCTAGGCTGCATCCATAGGAGTCTAGATAAAGTCCTCATCCCACTCAATTCCATTTTGGCTATTTTGGCCAGATGTCAATTTTGGGTTCCACACTTAAAGGAGATGGGCAAGATGGGAGGTATCCAAAGGAGGGCCATTAAAATGGCCAAAGTTGTGGAAATTAGGAATCCCTTTGAGGAATGGCTTAGGAAGTTGGGTATGTTTAACTTGTTGGGGGGAAAGGAAGCTAAGAGGGAACATGAAAGCCAGATTTACTTGTTGGAAAGGAGCTCTTTTGAGGAGGGGTCCAACTTATTTTCTGCTGCTCAACCCAAGAGATTCCATCTAAACTTTAGGAAGAACTTTCTGGTGAGCAGAGCTGTTTGAGAGTGGTTCCCATTGCTGCTTTGGCATCTCCTTTCCTGGAAGTTTTTCTGCAGAGTCTGGATGGCCATCTATCGGGAGGGGTTGAAATGTGTTTACTGCCTGGCTGAAGGGGACTGGGTGGCCCTTGTGTGGATTTCATCTAAACTTTAGGAAGAACTTTCTGGTGAGCAGAGCTGTTTGAGAGTGGTTCCCATTGCTGCTTTGGCATCTTCTTTCCTGGAAGTTTTTCAGCAGAGTCTGGATGGTCATCTATCAGGAGGGGTTGAAATGTGTTTACTGCCTGGCTGAAGGGGACTGGGTGGCCCTTGTGTTCTTTCCCATGAGTCTATGATTCATGGAAAGAGCCAAATGCCTGTCTAGTCCAGTCCCCACCTGTCCTACCCATTGCAAATGGAATACATAGGTAACTCCTATTGTTGAAATAGATCTAGTCTAATAACACCACCAGTGCCAATGCATTTTGAGATGGAAAATAAATAAATGTGGAAGAAAAATCACTTTGCACTTTTGTTGACAACACAAACTCATGGAAAGGACCCAAAGTCTGTGTAGGTCGGCACCCATCCATCGTGCCCAATTGCAAGTGTAAAAACCCACAGCAAAAGCAGCCATGGGCACTGGTATGGATTTCTGAGCATGTTCCAAAGCTCAGATCCGGTCATCCATAGTGGTTCAAGCAAGTATGCTACATGTGCCATGTGTGAGACCATGCACTAGCATTGCTGTTCTCAAATGAAATACCGGAGTATGGGACAGACGATGCTCCCCATGCCCTCTTCTGCCTTGGTCAGACCACTTTAACTGCAATCACACTGTGTCCAATTCTAGGCACGGCAATTGAAGGGAGATGTTGACTCTAAGCTGGAATGTTTTTAGAGGAAGGAGACTCAAAGGACCAAGGGTCTGGAGAACAAGCCCTATGAGGAGCGGCTTAGAGAGCTGGGCATGTTTAGCCTGCAGAAGAGAAGGCTGAGAGGAGACAGGATGAGGGCCATGTATAAGTATGTGAGAGGAAGTCGTAGGAAGGAGGGAGCAAGCTTGTTGTCTGCTGCCCTGGAGACTAGGATGCAATGCAGCAATGGCTTCAAATTACAAGAAAGGCGATTCCACCTGAACATGCATGAGGAAGAACTTCCTTTCTGGGAGAGAGAGCTGTTCAGCAGTGGAACTCTCTGTCCCATAGTGTGTTAGAGGCTCCTTCTTTGGAGGCTTTTAAACACAGGCTGGATGGCCATCGGTTAGGGGGTGATTTGAATGTGATTGTCCTGCTTCTTGGCACAATGTGGTTGGACTGGATGGCCCATCAGGACTCTTCCAACTCTGGGATCCTATGATTCTATGAAAGATTACCAAGCACTGAGTGCCTTTTTCCTTCCACTGCCTGAAGAACTACTCCGTTGTGTCAGAATCTTGCCAAAAAGACTCCTGCAAAGAAAAGCCGGAGAACCAAGTTCTTCCAACATTGCAATACCACTTGGTTCTTCTTTGCTAGCCAAACCTGCAATCTTCACTGCCTTGCCTTTGGGAGCCTACAAGTGCTCGTCTCTTTCCACCTTTCAAATATTCATGCAGCCTGACACCACTTCTCTGGCTCAATGCCGTGGAACTCTGGGAGTCGTAGTTTGGTGAGGCCTTGTTTACAATCCCATAAAATGTCTACAGGATGGATGTAATCCCATGTGAATTCAGAAACAAAAGAAAAACGTTGCATCTGTTTAAAAGAGAGCTTTGTGAATTTCTTTTGCAATGGTTTTGTGTGGCTAATGTTCCACCTGTATCTGTTCAAGGCATATTGGTGCCATGCTAGAATTTGTGTAAGACAGGCCGTAGGGAGCCCCACTCTTAGGATCACTGGTGGCCATTAGGCTTGTTTGATCAAAAAAAAATTGTTTCAGAACTAGTTTCGGATGTAGGGGGTGCCGGTGGTTCAATTCTAAAGTCAATTCCAATTTTCACAGAAAAAGTTCAGAACTTTTCAAAACTTCTAAGACTTCCAAATCCTTTTGTTAATAGTTTGAAAGTGTTATTTCCTGTTTCATTGCATGGACTTTACTTTGAAAGCAATTGTTTTACTCCAGGAGCAGGGAAAAGCAAGCAGAGGAAATTTGCAAATTCATGCTTCTCTGGTTTATAACTCGCTTCTCTGGCTTTAAAACTGGCTTGCTTTTCTGGCATGAGACAGAAGGGGAGCAAATTCATGCTTCCCCCATTTATAACTTGCTTCTCTGGCTTTAAAACTGGCTGGCTTTTCTGGTTTGAGACAGAAGCAGAGCAAATTCATGCTTTTCCGGTTTATAAATCACTTCTCTGGCTTTAAAACTGGCTGGCTTTTCTGACTTGAGACAGAAACAGAG